ACTAAGCTAGTCCCACCACTGCAATATGGTGCCACGTGTTGCTGCCATTTACGAACCGTAACAATAGTCCCCCAAGTCTATGTGTGGTTATTTTATGCCATGCGTGGACTTTCAAGAAGTTATTTAATGCATAGGGTTAACGAAGTTGCCTTCATAGCTGAAGTCCTTTTGAAGTTGAGGCGAGCTCATATTCGAACTGGTCGAGACTGATTTCCTTTTGGTGAGGCAAGTTCATAGTCGAAATGGCGAGGCTGAATCCCTTTTTAAACCTTCTGGACACTAGTGCCTGCGATGTGATGGTTTTGCATGTTTCTAAGGTAAGTTGGCTGCATCTAAATGACTTTCAATAACCGTACAGCTGTTTGCATTCAATGCATCATGATGGCTAATTATTAGGACGCATGATGTTGGGGAAAACGTTCACACGCCAAGCCCTGCTGGTATACACACGCATTAATCTGGGACGTTGAAGATGTGAACCGTTCGAAATTTGTGGCTCAGATCTATTTAATTTTGGACGCTTCAAATTAGTTGGGGTTTGATCAATTGGCTAGGATTGAGTCCTTCACTGGTATAAAGCTAGAATCTTACCATTTCCACACTTTATCTTTGCGAAACACTCATCAAAAAGTTTTCTTACTGTTAAATTTTTTCCGGCGAGTCTTCCGACGAACCTCCTTATCCATTTAGATATTCTTTCATTAAGGAGCACTCTTTTCACCCTTCAACACCATTTCCGTAGTCTTTTTGCAATTTTCTTTACTTGCAATGTCTACCGAGGCATCCATGGCTATTACAGTGGTTAAGAGTGGGGAAGAGTCGATATCTGGGGTTTGGGTGAGTGGTACAGCATGTCCAATGAGCCTATAGATTACGAGGCGGGTTGGGGGGGCAGCCAAGATTTCATCCAACATAACCACTTCCAAATTAGCCGAACTTAGGAACACCTATCGCATACCCCACTACGTAGAGCTGATAGTTCCTGACCCCCACGAAAGAGCCTGTTTTTCGAGGCCAAATTGAATAGCTTTCAGTGAACACCTGCCTAAAGCAGGTGTGCGTCTGCCTCTGCACCCTTTCTTTAGAGCGGTGCTGAGGACCTTCATGTTGTCCCCAACCCAAATTCTTTTAAATGGGTGGAGCCAAGTCATAGGGACTTACTTCCTTTGGAAGGAAGTGTCTTTAGGCAGGGACTTATCCCTGCATGTCTTCGAGATTTTATTCCATGCTAGGGTCATAGGGAAGGACGACTGGTGGTACTATATCACCCCTTGGGGCTCTCATGCCCCCTTCGTAGTTGGGCTCCCCTCCTCCATAAAGGGGTGGAAGGAGTCCTGGTTCTGGGTGACGAGTAGGTGGCAGATGGTTGAGGGAGATGCTATCCCAGCCGTTACTGT